GGTCGGCATTGCGGACAGAGGGGACAGCCCGGGGCCTCCTGGTCATCCCCTGCGGCCCGGACACAGCTGGCCACCAGGTGACAGGGGAGTCTCTGGTCGCCAGGGATGGGGCGGGGACCTGGACTGGCCCCTCGTGCTGGGGGCCGCTGGGTCCTCCTCGGGGAGGGTCCGGGGCTGGCAGTGCCCGGCCGGCGCTGCGGGTGAAGCGGGCCTGTGGGCTGCCTCGGCCTCGGTTTCCCCTGCTGTCCCGTGGCCATCCTGACGTCCGTGCGGCCCCGAGCCCCCCGGAAGCCGGCAGGGACGGGCAGGTGGAGTCCAGCCCGGCTCTCGCTCCCTCCCCTCGCCGCTGCCCTTCCTCCCCCCGGAGGCACCTCAGGACACGGCCTGATGGCTTTTCTGTGTCAGGTTCCTCCAGACTGAACCGCCCGAGGCCTGTGGATTCGTTTATTTTTGAGGAAAAAAATGCTAACAGCTGAGTCTGGCGGAGTGGGCTGTTGACTTCAGAACGCTGGCTCGAGGACGGGTGGGGGCGGGGTTGTCCAGACCCCCAAATAAACAAGCAGTCTGCTCCCAGCCCGCCCGGCCCACGGTTTTCATGTGGAAAGGGGCGGTGGGAACCCAGTCCTCCCCTCCCACTGATTCACGGGGTGACTCACCCCTGCGGGGAGGAGGGCCAGGAACCAGGCCCTGCCCGCCCCCCAGCACTCCCCCCATCGGCTTAAAGGGACAGGGCCTGGCAGAGCCACTGTCACCAACCAGCTGCCCGGGGAGCCCCAAGAGGTGCTCCAGGTCTGGGGTCTGGGAGGGCTCAGGCGCCGAGGTCCCCACCCCGCCCCCATCCATCTGCACCCCCAGCCTCCATTTCCGGGATGTGAACTGGGCCACGATGCTGCTCTGCAGGCTGGTCCTGCAAGGCCTGGTTAGTGGGCTGACCGTGGTTCTCGTGGTGGTGTTTGCAGCCCTACTGTGTGCTGGGCCCGAGGGGGTCAAGAGGAACATGCCCCTCCCTCTCCTCCCCGCTCCTTCTCTCCCATCTTTCTGAAGTGTTTCCAGAGGCTTCCATGGGCCCTGCCTGTGCTGCTTACTCACTGGCTGTGGGGAGAACCAGACTTGTCTCTGTCCAGAAGGAGCATCTTGGTGACTCCCTGGAGCTCCTGCAGCCCCACAGTGCCCGGCCCTGCCTGCC